CGTGCTGACAGCTCAGAGCCTGGAGCCTGTGCCTGTTTCAGATTCTGTGTCTCCCTCTCTCTCTGCCCTTCCCCTGCTCATGCTCTGTCTCTCTTCCTGTCAAAAATGAATAAACATTAAAAAAAAAAAATCAGAATCGCCCCCTGCCCCCACTTCAACCACACTTTGAATCTGCCCCTCCCACCCAACAATTACCATTAGGCTCCTGGTGGGTAGAGTTGCTTACTGTTGGGGGATGTTTAAAGACTTTTTCTTCTTAATATGTATTCCTTTTTATTATTGCTAGATAAGCATGTCCCCATTTTGCAAATGGAAACAGTGGTGAAGAATGCTCACTTTGGAGCCAGACAGCTCAGCCCCTCCAGTCACAAGCATATAATTGAGGACAAAGAAAGCGGAGGTAGTGGTCCCTACCCCAAAGGGTGGCAGAAGGTGAGGAGGAGTTACAACACAAAGAGCACAGTGCAAGGGTCTGGCTTGTAGAGAACACCATGAGGCCAGGCGGTTAGGAGCAAGAACTCTCAGACGGCCTGGGTTCCAGTCCCAGCTCTGGGCCTCACGGCCTGCCTGAGTTTGTTCCCCACATGTGAAAAGGAGTTCCGGAATGGAGTGAGTTAATATTTGTAAAGTGGTTAGAATGGAGCCTGACACTTAGTGTTCTACAAGTGTGTAAAAATATTAAGAGAATAGTAGATAAAAGGTAGTTGAAGCTATTAGTCGAGGCTGTGGTTTTTGGTGGTGGTGGGGATGATGTTATTGCAGTGAAAAGATGTCCACATCTAGAGATGGCCACCTGGGTTCTTGGCTCTTGTCACTGGGATTTTGGTTTCTAGACCAAATGACCAGTTTTAGGAAAGGAGGTCATCCTGACTTAAAGAACACTTACTTAATCCCTTGCTGGCTTTATGTTTATTTTTGTTTAATTTTTTATCGTGGAAACGTTCAAATATACCCTGTCCTCATGGACTGATTCTCTTTTTCTTGTTTGAGTCCCCCATGCTGCCATTAGTGGTCACTGTGGCTCTGAGACATGGCCTGGTCCTTGTCAAGGTTGAAGCAAGGAGCCTTCTGAAGCTGGAGATTCCCTCATCTTTCTTGTAATTTCTGGTTTTTCAGCCCAGAGGATCAGATTGCACAGAAAGATAATGGGCCTTAATGAGCACCTGGAAATTCAGGTTGGGGCAGTGCACACTTCTTTGTCACTTCTCAAGGGGTGGGGCTTAGCCACCATTAAGACAAGATGACCCAAGCTGGTTAAGCTCCTTGGCTCAAAGTTATTTGCAGAACCATTTAAAAATGTTCAGGCTGCCGCCCTTGGCAAGTCCAGTCCTGCTTGTCCCAACTTTCACTGCCCAGATTTGGGCCAGCTGGGGAAAGGAATTAAATCCGTGCATAAACCAGAGCAGCTCTTGTCCTTGTTTCTGTGACAGCCCCCCCCCCCATCACCCCATTACTTCTGCTGGGATGGGTTCGGGGGAGGTTATTTGAAAAACATCTAGTTTGAGATGGAGATCCTATTTTAGACTTAAAAGGCAGTGTCTGCCCATCCTTCAAGGACTTTGCCTTTGTTCTTCTCATTTTTGGTTCCCCTGTTCATGTAGCACATACTTGGCTTCTAGCAAATACTTCTAGCTTGTCTACCCAAATGCACAGAAAAAATAATCATTATCTACTGCTCGCACTGCTCTTTCACTTGCAAAATGTGATCACATTTGCTGTCTTGGTTACTATTCACAAAAACCCTGAAGAGGTAGGCTCCATCAATGGTGGTATCCTTCATGTCCCAGTAGAGAAAACGGAGGCCCAGGGGGGTTAAGCATATTGTTTAAGGCCACTCAGCAAGAACATGGTGGAATCTGTGTTTATTATCTGGTCACAGATAGTAGATATAGAGCCAGCCTATAAGGCAAGGGTAAAGGTGGGACCATGGCTGTGATTTCTTTTTTTTTTTTTTTTTTTTTTTTTTTGTATAAACCTGGAGGACGGGGGGTGGGTGGGTGATTATTTGAAGGACCCTGTTCCCTTCCTGTGAACTATGTTTTTGTTTGGCTGGATAGCGACTTCCAGTTACTTGTACAAGGTGGCCCCAGATTTCTGTCATCCCTGGATTCTAGCTAGGGGGCAAAATAAACCAGGGCCTTAACAGTCTCTTCAGGGCAAGGGAACGCGGTCATAAGACTAACTCAGGGTAAGGGCCAGTCCCAGCTCTGCTTTCACTAAGGATAGGATGTCAAGCAATTTTCTTAAGCTCTCCAAGCCTGGATTTCTTCATCTTCTGAATATCTTCATCTTCAAAATGGAAATGATCATGGTGTTCACCCACCCACACCAGTCAGGTCTTATTTTCTCTGGAAAGGGTGTGGCTGTTGGCTTCAGAAACATTTGCAAGGGTGGCCCCTGGTGGAAGAAAGTGAAAACTGCAGCCCAGGAATTAGGGGTGGCTTTAGGACTTTGTGGCAGAGACGTGATCCTCATGAATGTAGAGGTGTCTAGCCTTGTAAAATAGGCTCAAGAGCAGGAGTTTTTATAAAAGATCTATTTGGACAAAGTAAAAATTACACTAGAGAAATGAAGGGGGAGTATTTGAAAGGGATGAAAACAGGCCACCTTGAGAAGTTCCCAGAATGAGCTGCTTTATCAGCTGTTCCCTGTGTCTAGCTGGCTCTTGAGACAGGTTTCTGCAAGACTGTCTCCTTCAGGTCTCTGCTCAGCCACCTCCACCTCAAGAGGCTTGCTCTCATCATCCAGTAATAGTTACGCCTTTCTGAATCCCCCTCTCCTCTGATCACTCTTGTATTACTCTAATTCCTTTCTGTCTAGCATTTATCACTTCCTGGGATGATTGATTTCTGTATTTGTCCATGTTTTCCCCAACAGTTTAAGCTCAGTGAGGAACAGTGCCTTGTCTGTCTTGTCTACAAGTTTGTCCTTAGAGCTCAGCACAGCTTCTGGCATAGAGCTTGGTGGAAACCTGTAGAATGAGCCCTTTAGGACATTTTTCACCACCAGCGTCACCATCTTTGGGTATTGGTGGTCTTTAAGTTTTAATACCTTAATAGCTATGAAGTTTTAAGTAGAGTTTGGAAGTCATTGGTCATAACATTCCCCCACCCAAGTAGTCCTTCCCTGTCTTTTGCATTTGTCTTGCTGCCCTGTATGATCAGGTTGAAGACTTTCCTGTGCAACTTTCATTATCTCCCCTGACAATGATCAGTTTCTCTTCTGCATCAGATTGAAAGCAGGTATTACCTCTCTATGCCTGAGATAATAAAAATAGAATTAGCACTCAACAAGTATTTACAGTTATCAATGTCTTCTGTGGGATACTCATGAGGGTTGAATAAATGATTAACCAAAGTCACATTTGTTTTCAAAAACTTAATTGGACAGACATTAATATAGTGCTTATTATGTACCAAGCACATAGAGATGTAACTTAAGTCAACCCTAGGGGCACCTGGGTGGCTCAGTCAGTTGGGAGTCCAACTTCGGCTCAGGTCGTGATCTTGCGGTCTGTGAGTTCGAGCCCCGCGTCGGGCTCTGTGCTTGGAGCCTGGAGCCTGCTTTGGATTCTGTGTCTCCCTCTCTCTCTGACCCTCCCCCGTTCATGCTCTGTCTCTCTCTGTCTCATAAATAAATAAATAAATAAATAAATAAATAAATAAACAAACAAACAAACAAACAAACAAACGTTAAAAAAACAAACTTAAATCAACCCTAGTAGGTAGTTGCTTTTATTGCCTTCATTCTACAGATGGGTAGACTGAGGCACAGGGAGATTAATTTGCCCAAGGTCACAGAGCTAATAATAAGCAGAGCTGGGACTTGAACCAGGTAGCCTGTTCCAGAGTCCATATTCTTTAGAGAGAGTGAGTGTGAACGAGGGAGAGGGATAGAGATCGAGGGAGGGAGAGTCTCAAGCAGGCTCCACGCACAGCTCAGAGCCTGACCCAGAGCTTGATGCCATGACCCTGGGATCACGACTTGAGTCAAAATTAAGAGTGGGATGCTTAACCAGCTGAGCCACCCAGGGGGCCACCCCCCAGAGTCTGTACTCGTTATCATCATGCCATGTCCCTCTCTCATTGTCTGCCACTGGTTTTGAAATGTCAACATTTATGTATTTATTTAAAATGTTTATTTTATTTATTTTGAGAGGGGAGGGAGGGAGAGAGAGAGAGAGAGAGAGAATGAATGAATGAATGAATCCCAAGCAGCCTTCATGCTGTCAGTGCAGAGCCCAACTCAAGGCCCAATCCCACGAACTGTGAGAGCATGACCTGAGCTGAAGTTAAGAGTCAGATGCTTAACCAGATGCTTAACCAAATGAGCCACCCAGGCTCAGTTACCCCACCTGCTACTTAAATGTAGATTCTGCAATGTCTCACTGTACCTTAGTCTCTAACTTTTGGATTCAGCAAGCATTCTGTCTCAGTAATCTTAGTGGTCTGTTTTTATATTGTCAACAGCCAGCTGAAAGAGAGGTCCCTTTTGTTATTGAAAAGAAGTTACTTTCTAGACATGTCACTGTTTGTAGTTTACAAGTAGATAAGAAAGAAAATCAGGGGCGCCTGGATGGCTCAGTCGGTTGGGCGGCCGACTTCGGCTCAGGTCATGATCTCGCAGTCCGTGAGTTCGAGCCCCGCGTCGGGCTCTGTGCGGACAGCTCGGAGCCTGTGCCTGTTTCAGATTCTGTGTCTCCCTCTCTCTGACCCTCCCCCATTCATGCTCTCTCTCTGTCTCAAAAATAAATAAACATTAAAAAAAAATTTGGAAAAAAAGAAAGAAAATCAGACCACAATGAACAGTCTTCCTGTAATTGTGAAGAACATGATGATAATATTGACTACTTTGGTATCTTTGCTGTTCTGTCTCCAGACGATGGCTTGTTTTGCGTGAGTCAGGCTTTTGGTGGGTGAACCACGTTTGCTTTTTAGAGAAGGAACACTCATGTCTTTAATCTGCCCCATTTCCTAATCGCTGTGACGTGTGCCCTGCAGTGAGTTTTGAAGGATGCACCGGTCAACCAAGGACAGCCTATTTTTCTGATGACACGCGAATCAAAGTGGGCAGCGATGGTGTGGTTAGCGTCAGACGGCCTCTGCAGCTTCATAAACCAGAGATGAGTTTTCTCGTCCACGCCTGGGACTCCAGCCGCAGGAAGCTGTCCACCAAAGTTACGCTGAAGGCAGCAGTGCGCCATCACCACCACCATCATGTACGTTGGAGCATTTCTTGGAAGTTCACCATTGTTTTAGTCCTCTGGCTAATGCAGGTTCCCTAGCCTTGGCACCATTCACATTTGGGGCTGGATGGTTTTCTGTTGTGATGTTTAGCAGCATCCCTGGCTGTAGCCCACCAGATAGATACCAGCAGCATGCCCCTAGCTGTCATAACCAAAAATGTCTCCAGACAGCCAATGCCCCCCGGGTTGGAGAATCACCTCTAGTTGAGAACCATTGGTCTAACTGAACTAATCGTTGGGAATTTTTTTGAGTAGGTGGGGGGAGGGATCAGCCGGAATGATGGCGCAGTGTAAATATCTGTATTTTCTGTGGGAAGTGTAGAATAGTGGGTAAGAGCATGGACACTATCTGGGACTGAATCATAGCCCTGCCACTTACTGCCTGAATAGATATAGGAGAGTTACTTAACCCCTCTGTGCTTGAAATTCCTTATCTGTAAATGCAGATAATAATGAGTGCCTGATTTAATACATGTGAAATGATATAACTGTGCTAGGCATACAGTAAGTACTCAGTAATTGTTAACTGTCTTTTTCTTGGAGGGGGAATGAGCAGGAGATCAATCCTCTGATCATTTTATTTTACTCTTTGTGTTTCTAGTGGGGAGAGTCTTGGGAGGGGAAGAGAAGACTCAATGGGAAACATTTTTTTTTTAAGTTTTATTTATTTATTTTGAGAGAGAGACAGCGTGAGCAGGGGCAGGGCAGAGAAGGAGGGAGGGAGGGAAAGAGAGAGTGTGTGTGTGTGTTATTGGGTATGTGAGTAACTAATATGTAGGAATGCAGTACTGGGAAGGATTTCTTATCTCATGTCTGTCTTGTGCATTTTGAAACAAATTTGAAAAGCCAGGAAATAGTGCTTAAATCACATTTGGCAAACAGTGATCAGTGATTATGTGGGGAGTGGGAGATGGAATTGTCCTCTGGAACCTTTACAGTATTATGGTTAATCACTTTAAAGCACTTAAACAATTTGGAAGAAACTTTGCTTCCATCTTCAACTATCTCATTTCCCTGTGTGTGCATAAAGCTATCTTTATCACATATGAAAACTGTTCAATACAAGTCTCAAAGGGCGTTTTTGGTTCCCATCCCAACAGCTTTAGTTAGAACAAATGGAAACTCAATAGATAAAACAACACAATGAGGTTAAAGAATTTGTATTGATCACAAAGTAGTTCTTAGCACCAATTCCTAAAACTTACCTCATCTTGGCTGATAACTCCACTTTGGAGGCCTATACCCCAAGGAAAAACATAAAAGAAAATTGAAACACTTGAATATCCAGTTGTTGAATAAGCTCTGATATTACATCATCAGAGTGTAATGTTCTTTTAAAAACAACAGGTATAATATATATAGGCTTGAAATAACTTGCAAAATAATATCAAACTCTCAAATGTATAGTTGTGTATGCATACTGGTTACTTGAACTCTGGACATTAGAAGGATCAAAAGAGAATGCCATCTTTATTATATGGCAGAGAGGTTCATTGGGTTGTGTTTTGTTATTAAGTTAAAATCATCGACTGTCCTCAGAATGCTGGAGATGCTGGCTGGGTAGGTGGAACTGTTGGGCCTGTATTATTTCTCCTGAATTACCTGATTTTGTTCTTCATCTCCTTTCCTTTTAGGACACTGTCTCCGAAACCCAGACAGAAGTGCTCACATTTCCCAACTCCCAGCATGGTCTTAGAAGACAGAAGAGAGACTGGGTTATCCCTCCTATCAGCTGCCCAGAAAATGAGAAAGGGCCATTTCCTAAAAATCTGGTTCAGGTAGAGAGCAGGAAGTTCTTTACTTCTCTGGGAGCAATTTGTCAGAGAAGGACTAGGAAGAAAAAGGGATAATGCTGTTTCTTTCTGTTTGGTCTTCAGATCAAATCTAACAGGGACAAAGAAATCAAGGTTTTCTACAGCATCACTGGCCAAGGGGCTGACACACCTCCTGTTGGTGTGTTTATTATTGAAAGAGAAACAGGATGGCTGAAGGTGACGGAGCCTCTGGATAGAGAACAAATTGCCAAGTACATTGTGAGTATCTCTCAGAAGCCTGTTAATAATGGGGTCCTATCCTCCCAAAATTTTTTGGTCAACCCATGTTGGATCCCTAGATCTGGTGCTCTGGACATGTGAGGCTTAATTTGATAGCTCTGTACCTGTTAATAAAGGGAGATGACAGGAGAGCTGGGGAAAAATGGGGGGGTGGGGGAGGGGAGCATTAATATTTTCTTTGTTAGGAATAAAGAGAGGAGGGTCCTTATGCATGAGTTAAGACCCAAGGTAGCAACTTACTCTTGGGGCCAAAAGTCCCTGACCCAGAGGAAGAGGCCAGTGATGACATTGGGGAGCAAAAGCCATTCTTAGACCTTGGTATCAGAGTGAGCTTGGAGAGCTGAAGGGTAATGCATTGAGGCCAAATGTAGAAAAATCTGGGGAGACACTAGACTGGAGCAGTCAGAGCAAACATTAGCCTGCTGGGAATGAATCAGAGTGTTTTAGGGTTCTACTGTTTTCTCCTAGGCCTGGCTCCCCAGCCCTCCTATGGGAAATGGGAGCTCTGACCTGGTAGCTGTGTTCTCCAGCCCATGAATCTTTACATATCATGCCCTCAAACATTGTCATGACACCACTGAAGCAGCAGCACATGTCCGAGAAAAGTTCTCTGCTAGGGTGTCCTTCCTTGGGTCTTGGAGAGTGGGAGGGGGGGGTGGAGGCCGTCACATGACTCCTTCCCTTTCTTCCCCCTGGTTGGGACCCACGTAACCTTCACTTGGCTGTTTCAGCTGTACTCTCATGCTGTGTCTTCAAATGGGCATGCAGTCGAAGACCCAATGGAGATTGTGATTACGGTGACAGATCAGAATGACAACAAGCCCGAGTTCACCCAGCAGGTCTTTGAAGGTTCTGTCATGGAAAGTGCTCTTCCAGGTATGGCCAATACATAAGGCGCGTAGTTTCCAGAAAGACACTTAGATTCTTTGGACTTAAAAGTGTTGGGGCTGGTGTTTGGGGTCAGGCCCTTCATAGCGATAGAACTTCTTTAGGAGCTTGCACCATGTGTGTAAAACATCCTTTCTACAGAAATGTGTATTATAAAATAGGAGCAGTTTAAGAACCTTTCCTGATTAAGAAACAGATGCATGCCATTCATGACCACATTCTTTTCTGTCCCCTGTAAAGGTAACTGCTGCCCTGACTTTTGTGGTAATCATTCCTTTGCTTTCATTTGTCTATTTCACTGTGTGTATATTTATCTCTATATGAGCTCTTGTTTGTTTTGCATGTTTTCAAACTTTATGTACAGGGAACCACACTCTACATGTATTTCTGTGGCATGCTTCTCTCGTTTAGCTTTATGTACATATGGTTCTTTGTGTTGGTGCCTATAGCAGTCCAAGGCCATTCATTCTCATTGTCATGTAGTATTTCTTTGCATATATCTCCTGATGGAAACATGCAAGACTTTCTCTAGGGTATAAATCCATAATGGTAGATGGCTCAGTTGTATTGTATGTGCCTGTTCAGTGTGATACTTGCTGACAAGCTGTTTTCCAAAGGGGTTGAACCAGTTTACAGTCCCACCAGCAACATATATATCCTGGAATTTTAGACTTTTCAGCTCTGTTGACTGTGTGGTGGTATCTCCATACAATTTTAAATTGCATTTCTCTGCTTTATTAATGGGCTAAGCATTTTCTGCGTTTGCCGGCCCTTTGGGTTTCTTATGACTTCTTTCTTCGTCTTTTGCTCTTTTTTTTCCCCCTTAGGCTATTTTTTTCCTTTTCCTAGTGATCCCTAAAGAATTTTTTTTGATGTGCTCAGCACTAGTCCTTTGCCAGTCACAGGTGCTATAAGTATTCTCTTCTACCTTGAAGGCAGTGATCTCAAGTGACCATCCTCTCTGGTGAAGCCGTGACTTACAAGCCACATCGGAAATTTGTGGGATTTTTCCTAGTTTTCACCTCATTCACTCTGTTTGAGAGACACGGCACTGTTTCAGTTTAAGGTTACTTATTCCCCGTAGTCCTCCCCTCCAGCCCAATCCAAAGTATCTTGTGGCAAAGCTGAGTCCTTGGAACACTGCTCATTTGGTGGAATGCTGTCAACTCTCCCCCCCGCCCTGGTAAGAATTTTGGAAATTAGAAAATGGAGAGCCATGACACGGTACCAACCCTAGGCTCCTCCTGGAACATTCTGGACAGAATTGAGCTGAGCAATGTTGACCAAAATCCAAAGTGCAGCTTAACTGAATCTTCCTCTCCTTTGGCAATTCCAGGAACTTCTGTGATGCAGGTCACGGCCACAGATGCAGATGACGACGAGAATACCTACAATGCCGCCATCGCATACACCATCCTCTCCCAAGAGCCCCCGCTGCCTCAGAGCACAATGTTCACCATCAATAGGGACACAGGAGTCATCAGTGTGGTCACCACCGGGCTGGACCGGGAGGTCAGGGGTCAAGAGGATATAGAGGGGGTTGAGGGCAAATAGACATCAGCTAGATCACGTGGACCGTGCAAAACTCGACAGAGGCCAGTTGCCACGTAGCATGTTATGGTCTGAGCTTTGCATCTAAACATCTGTCTAGAGGTTTTATACCTAGAAGGCAGGCTAGCATTCAAGCAAATCATAAAGTGTTTTGATGCTCTGGGCTGGGCTGGGCCTGATGTGGTTCTGGGTCCTGACTCCAATGTGTTTGATCTCTGCAGAGTGTCCCCATGTACACCCTGGTGGTTCAGGCTGCTGACCTGCAAGGCGAAGGTTTAAGTACAACCGCAACAGCCGTGATCACGGTCACTGACATCAACGATAACCCTCCCATCTTTGAACCAACGACGGTAATTTTGCAGCCCCTCGGTTTTCAAAGAAAGGTCCTCTGTTGTTTCACAGTGCTCATGGGTGAAGCCTTTGACAGCTTTCCCTAGACTACTGAACTTCAGAAAGCAAGCAGATTGGGGTGGCAGTTGTCCCTGCCATCATTAGCCTGGGCCCTATTGGCACACGTTTGTGAAATTATAAATGGCACCTGAGGTGCCTGGCTGGCACAGTCAGTGGAGAATGTGACTCTTTTATAATTTTTTAAATATTTTTTTGATGCTTTTATTTATTTTTGAGAGAGAGAGAGAGAGATGACAGAGCATGGCTGGGGGGGGGGGGCGGGGGGAGCAGAGAGAGAGGAAGACAAAGAATCCAAAGCAGGCTCCAGACCCTGAGCTGTCAGCACAGAGCCCCACGTGGGGCTTGAACTTCACTGTGAAATCATGACCTGAGCCGAAGTTGGAAGCTTAACTGACTCAGCCACCCAGGCACCACAGAGCATGTGACTCTTGGTCTGAGGGTTGTGAGTTTGATCCCCATGTTGGGTATAGAGATTACTTTAAAAAAGAAAAAAAGGGGGGGGACACCTGTTGAATTCATGTTTTCATTTTGGGTATCTTGGTCACAAGTCCTACCAGGTTTTGTTTATTCATTGAACAAATATTTTCTTTCTATTCTTTTCTTTTTTTAATCTTTATTTATTTTTGAGAGAGAGAGAGAGAGAGAGAGTATGAGTGGGGAGGAACAGAGAGAGAGGGAGACACAGAATCCAAAGCAGGTTCCAGGCTCTGAGCTGTCAGCACAGAAGCCCGACATGGGGTTTGAACTCATGAACCACAGTATCATGACCTGAGCCCAAGTCGGATGCTTAACTGACTGAGCCACCCAGGCACCCCAGAACCTTAAATCTTAATACATTAATTAGAAATCACCTCAGTGGCTAATAACAGACACTTGACTCTTACGTCCTAAACAAATAGGGTAAACTTTCTAGTGTCACAAAAAGCCCAGAGCTAGATTATCTGTGCTGTCAATGAAACCTCTTTTGCCTTACTTTGCCACCATCCTTGGTGCATAGCTTCCATCCTTGGTGTCCCCTTATGGCCCCAGATGGCTGCTAGCCCTCCAGCTATGTCTGTGCTTCGTTCAGGAAGGAAGCAAGGCCACGGGGAGCACAAGGCATTGCTGCTAAGTGAAGTCCTCTTATTTCTGTGCAGACCCATACAAGTTCCATTTACCTCTTAGCAACTGCAGTCTTCGAGGATGACTGGAAGTAAAATACATTGTCTGGGCACTTTGCTGCCTCCAACAATATATTTCACGAAGAAAGGGTGAATGGATATTAGTATTCAATTAGCAGTGTCTGCCACCCTAACCTAGGCATTGTGAGTAACATTTATAGTAAGATTTGACAGGATGTTGGCCAACGCGGGACAGGGGACAATGGAAGAGTGCTCCAGGCAGAGGGAGCAGCATATGCAACATGCTCTGAATCAGTGAAAAGCTTGATGCATAGCAAGAACTGAAAACCAGTCAGTGTAGTGAACTAAATGAGGTTGGGTCCTGCACGACCTTGTAGACTGAGGTAAGAATGTTAGAATTTATCCTGAGTGCAAGGGGATGTCATCAAAGGTTTTAAGCAGAGGACTCTACTGACCAGACTTTTGTTGTAAGAAAATTATTGGTACCACTGGGAATGATAGGGAGAGGAGAGTAATGGATAAGCCACAGTGTCTTGAATTTGATTAAGACCATAGTCATCAACTGGGTCAGAGTGTGCTGTGAGGGGCTCAGGTAGCCAGGTCCTTAAAAAGCTTCTTCAGGTAGTCATGAAGGATGATGTTCCTTGAGTAGTATTGGCTCCTCCACCAATAAGAAATAGAGGCTCCACTGATGGAGTGGGCATTTCCTCCAAGACTCTTCTCCTTGAATCTTGGGCTCAGAAAGGACTCCTTTAGCCCTCTAGGCCCTGGCTCATCTATTGGGTCTCAGGATGTCATAAGTGGTCCATTTTTTCCTTTGCTCTGTAGTACCAGGGGCAGGTGCCTGAGAACGAAGCTAATGTCGAAATCACCGTACTCAAAGTGACTGACGCCGATGTCCCAAATACCCCAGCGTGGCAGGCCGTGTACACCATATTGAACAATAAGGATGACCAGTTTGTTGTCACCACAGACCCAGTAACCAACGATGGCATTTTGAAAACAGCTAAGGTTTGTATGGTGCCTGGCAAGGTGCAGAAACTGACATCTTGGAAACTCCCCTGTCCACTGGTGTCTTCTCAGAAGTAGAAGTAGTACGGCATTGGTGGGGTAAGGGTGGGAGGCTTTCCCAGGATCTGTTGCACCATTTGGGATTTGCAGTGACTATTCCAGCACATGTGAGACTCAGGAAGCTCCTTGAGGCTGAAGAGAAAGAAAATACCATGTGTTTTAAAAGGCTCGCTCCCTTAAACATTTATCTACTCCTCCCCTCCATATCCATTTTGCAAATAAAAGGGAAAATAGTCTACTGGTCTCTGCCATTTTGCTGGATTATTTTAGAAGTGGGACAAATGACTTTTTGAGAAATGTTTTGGAAACCTGAAGACTTAGGAAGTTGGGTGATTTACTTGTTGAGGTTACTCAGAGTTAATGGATCCCTGAATCAGCCCCAAGGCTTTGACTTCCTCTTGAGCAAGTGAGCAGACCATTCTGCATTATTACTTTATGCATTACTTACTACATAATCTTATCTTCCCCTAACCATCCAACGTCAACATTGTCTATGCTACCAACAAAAGAAAGAAGCTAGTAAAATGAGTCCCTACCATACACAAAGTCCTTCATCAAAGTTCCCAGTTTTTTCCTTACGGCAACTCCATGAAGTGTTCCTTTTCCTACATATTTAGATGTAGAAACAGATCCAGAAGTTAAGTTGCCTGGATCACACAGCTAGGATATGACCCAGCTGGGCTTTGACCTTGTTGCTGACTGATCTGAACTGCATGTTGACAGTAAACTTAATTGAGGTCATTGAGGTGGACAAGCAGGGTCTTCTGTCCGTCTGCTGTCACATGGATGGCATGTCACATGGGATGTGAACATTCTTACTGGTCTTGAATAATGAATGACTTAATGTGCTAGTGTTAGTTCACTGGGGTTTGCTGTTTGACGTGTCCCGTAGTTTGTTTTTATTCTTCTCCTAGGGTTCTCATCTTTATTATGATTGCATGGTAGTCATTGGGAGCTTTGTAAAACTACGCATGTCTGGGCCCTACCCTCAGAGACTGCTATTTACTGGGTTAGAGTTCAGGCCTCCATTTTCTTCAAAAGTTCTCAAGTTAATTCTTCCTAATTAACTAGATTAGCTAGATTTGAGAACCCCTAGGATATTGCTAACCAAAAGCAATAGTTAAGGACTTAATTTTATTTATTTTTTTAACTAACATAAAATGTATTTTTGAATTCTTTTTTTTTTTTTTTTTTTTTTTTTTTTTTTTTTGCTCCTTAGGGCTTGGATTTTGAGACCAAGCGACAATACATTCTGTATGTGGCCGTGGAGAATGTGTCCCCGTTTGAGGTTATTCTCTCCACCTCCACAGCCACAGTCACCGTGGACGTGGAGGATGTGAACGAAGCCCCCATCTTTGTGCCTCTCCAAAAGGAAGTGCACATACCTGAAGACTTTGGTGTGGGCCTGGAAATCACGTCCTACACTGCTGAGGATCCGGACCAGTTTATGGAACAGAGGATAACGTAAGTGTGAGGATTTTTTAACAGACTTGCAACAATTGAGTATGAGTGTATGTGTGTGTATAAAATACTTTGTTCATTGCATTTTACCATCATTGGTCTGTGCAAGTCCCCCCCGCCCCCGTTTTTTTCTAATTCCATTTTACTCTCATTCTCCACACTTTTTCCGTTCCCTCCATAGCCAGCCATTCCCGATTTACTGTTGCTTCCTGTTTGCAAGTTCATGCAGTGTACTAAGAATGTGGTTTTAATTTACATACATGATGTTGTGTTAGAAGTAGCTCGGTATTTCTCCTTTTAAACTTGAAGTCACCCCATAATCTAAATCACACCCACAGATGTTGAAGCCACACCTGCCAACCAACAACAACACCCCACAACCATGTATGATAAAGAATGTTCTTAATTTTTTGAGGGCTGGATTTGACTAGGAAAAAACTATGAGAATACAAATCCAAAGAGGACACATGTGTCTTGTTAGTAATACCGTGATTTCCAAGAAGTAATGGGCCTCCGCCAATGCGCCCACTTCCTCTTCTTGGAGAGGTAGGTTCCTACCTGTTAACATGTACTTTAGGGGAAACTGTCATGACACCTGAACTATCTTCTTCTAAAGTTTATTTAAGTGATCTCTACCCTCAATCTTGAACTCATGACTCGGAGATCAAGAGTCACGTGGTCTTTCAATTGAGCCAGCCAGGTGCCCCAGGCTCTCAACTATTTAGAGAAAAACATACAAATCCAGAATAGCGTCTTGCATAGTAATTGAGTGTGTTCTTGTTTGGTGGGATGTTTGTGTTTTAGCATCAGTGCTTTTGACTGGTTCAAGTTGAAGTTCAAACAGAGTTTAAGTGTGATTTCAGCCTCAGTGGTTAGTTTGGGAAGTGCTGATTCTGTCCTAAGTGAAAGGGCTCCTGAATACCTTTGGACCACACATGTGCCCTGTATAGGAGGAGCTATATAAAAGGTGCAGGTAGAGATCTTAAAGGCTGCTAGCACTGAGTCATTAGGTCAAGGGTGATGGGGAATTTTTAAATGAAGGAACCAGGCTGATAACACCCAAACCTTCTGATTGTATTTAACATTTACTTAAAAAAAAAAAAAGTAAGGACAATATAACATAATGTACCACTTGATATGTATGATTCAGTAGCATGCACACAACGTCACTATGGAAATATTTTTTTTTGGAGTAAACTAAAGTTGAGGCAGAACCTAGTTAAGCGTTAGAATCTGATTTTGCAGAAATGCAGAGAATGAAGAAACAAATGCCACAAATCTGGCCAAATGCAGAATGTGGGAACTGTATGACAAATGACACTGGAATAAGTGGCAAAAGGGCAGGGAGGACTGCTTTAGATCAAAAGAGTATTAAGAGGCAAATGAACCAATTGTAATATGTAGACTACAACTTGAAGATAGATTCAACACTCCAACTATAAAAGATACCTTTGAGTCAGTTAGAGAAATTTAAGCATGGACGTGGCATTAGATGACAGTAAGTAATTATTACTGTTTTTGTTAGATGTGTTGGTGGCATTATGATTATGTTTTGTTTTATTTTTTTCTAATTTACTTATTTATATGGAGCACCTGGCTGGCTCAGTTGGGTAAGTGGCTGACCTCAGTTCAGGTCATGATCTCATGGTTCATGAGTTAGACTCCTGCATTGGATCTCTCTGCTGTTGGTACAGAACTTGCTTTGGATCCTCTGTCCCCATCCCTTTCTGCCCCTCTCCCACTGGTTCTCTCTCTCTCTCAAAAATAAACATTAAATTAAAAAAATTTTTTAAACCTTATCTATATAAGATATATGCTAAGATATTTACAGGAAAAATCTTTTGACATTTGAGATTTGCTTTAAAATAATCTTAATTTCAGGGTACCTGGTTGGCTCAGTCAGTAGAACATATGACTTTTCATCTTGGAGGTCACAAGGTCAAGCCCTATGTGAAGTGTACAGATTACTTAAAATCTTAAAATACTTCAAATGTGTTGAATTTGTACATGTATCCAATGTACTGCTCATAATCCAAGGAGTCCTCTAGGTGGTCCAAACTATTAGGGCTAGTAAGAAGTGTTTTTAATCAAGGTTGAAAACTACAGTGGGAAACCAAAGACCTCTTGTATGGTTTTCGTTGAATGATGAAGCCTTGGACTGTATGGTTTCCAGGCCAGTTGATGCCTTAGCTTGCAGTAGTGTAAGGGTCATTTAAAGCTTCTCTTTGGGCAAGTACGGGGACCAAGTCTGTGTGTAGAGGCCCTTACTCCTGGAACAAAGACCACTTGCTAAGTTCATGGCTTTGTACTCCTAAGGAAGTGGGGATATGCCTGGAGGTATCCAGGGCTCTTTTATCCTTAGCTTTTTTGCTTCTTTTTCTGAGCCTTGCCATGACCCTAGCAGATAGCTGGGCAGTATATCTCTCTTTTTCATGCCTTTGTTTTCTCTGATTGACTGCTTCTGGTACTCCCAAGTAGGTATAGCTTAACGGATCATTCTGGCATTTTGAATAAAACTTTTCTTTCCCTTTGTAAGGCCAGAAGGAACTTGAGCTTCTCTGGCACCTGCCTTGAAAGGCCAGTAATACAGCGCATCCTCCAGTCACTGTGTCAACACGAGTTTCCAGGTGTTTGTGGTGGGGGTTTTGGGTGGCATATTGCCACCATTTGAGTACTGTACCCTTTGGGGAGCTGGCCTATAAGACTCTGCTTTAAAAATACATAAGGAGGGGCACCTGTGTGGGTCAGTTGGTTGTGTCCGACTCTTGATTTCAGCTCAGGTCACGATGTCATGGTTTGTGGGATCAAGCCCAGAGCCTGCTTGGGATTCTGTCTCTCCCTTTTTCTCTGCTCCTCCCCTGCACATTCTGCTTCTCCCTCTCAAAATAAATAAATAAACTTAAAAAAACAAACAAACAAACAAACAAACAAACAAAAAAACCTTAAAGTTCATAGTACTCCTTGCTTCAGGCAAAAATTACCCAAAGATACTAAATCTATTGGGTGAAAGTTGAACAGGATATTGTCACATTTTCTCCCCTCAGACCATAGACTAATGGTCTTTTTTCCCCTTAGGAAAAAAGTACCTTTAATGGGAAGAAATCAGGTGCCCTATCCCTTATCCAAGTGATCAAAGTTAACCAAGAAAAGAACAGATGTCATGTGCCTCTTAATGTCCTCCTGAGAAGGACAGTCATCACTTATCCAGTGCTCTTGCCTCCCTTTCCCTCACATGAATTGAGTTTACTTAGAAGGGAATAATCAGACCAGCCCAGATTGAGGAGCTTTCTCCAAAACAATTGGCCTGCACATTTCAAAAATACCAGTGTTGAGAAAGAATGGAAAGGCTAAGGAATGTTTCCAAATTGAGGAAACGTGACATCTAAATGTCATGCGTAGATGGATCCTGAATCAGGGCAGGGATGCTCCGGAGGACAGTTTTGGGGAAATCGACAATTTAAATATGTACCATATATTAAATGTTACATTTCCTGAAATTAAAAATCCAATTGTGATTATATAATAGAATGCCTCTGTTCTGAGGGGATAATACGCCGAAGTATTTATGAGTAAGAGAACATGATGGCTGCAACTTCTTCTCAAATGGTTCAACAATGGGTGAATCCAGGTGAAGGGGACATGGATGGTCACACTTTCCTGTAGATGTGAACGACGAACAAAGAGGAGCCTTAGCCTTCTTAGCTATGTGCCGTTCACTCTTGTATTCTAAGCCAGAGCTTGTGCCTTTTCAGGTATCGGATTTGGAGGGATGCTGCCAACTGGCTGAGGATTGATCCAGACACTGGTGCCATTTTCACTCGGGCTGAATTAGACAGGGAGGACTTTGAGCATGTGAAGAACAGCACGTACACGGCCCTCATTATCGCCACCGACAATGGTAAGGATGTTCTTAGGGTTTGGCCTTGGCCGCCTCACCCTCCCGGCTCGTTTGCTTCTTTGCCCCCCACCTTTCTTTTAGAGGCAAGAGTTCATTCTTCCTCTTTTATCCTTAAACAAAAAACATACAATTTTCAAGGGTACAAATAATTTAGGTCAAGTAGAAGTGCTTTTCACCATTCCCTCTTTATACCTGAACCCACTCCTTCCCCACAGGAGCCACACTGCCTGGGTCTAGAGCCTAGGACATAATACCTATGTGACTTTGGACTTACAAGCTTATTTCTATGTCCCTCAGTTCCTCTATCTGACAAAATGATAATACCCCATCTAGATTTTTAATGAATTCATTTATGTAAACATGCCTAGAAGAGTGTCTGCTACATAGTACTACTCTATAAGGACTATCATTATTTTTATCATCATCATTATTAGTGAAATGTGACTCCCTCCGGGCTGTTTCTGTGTGTTTGAATTCATTTTTCTGCATATGAATTATAGTTTATTATAAAGCCACTATCTACTTTATAGCCTGGTTTTATTGTAAAAACCATTATTTTATACATGTTGATTTCTATTAAATTTTTCATTTACTTGATACGTAATTTATTATTATTTACAATATGTCTTTAAGACACAGATTTACTTTGGCACTTTATAGATTTACCTCTTGGTAATAAAGAAATGTTACCTAGGGCTGCCTGGGTGGCTCAGTATGTTAAGCATCCAACTCTTGATTTCGGCTCAGGTCATGATCTCATGGTTCGTGAGTTTGAGCCCCACAATGAGCTCTGCCCTGACAATGTGGACCCTGCTTGGGATTCTCTCTCTCTCTCTCTCTCTCTCTCTCTCTCTCTCTCTCTCTCTCTCTCTCTCTCTCCCTCTCTCCCTCTCTCTCCCTCTGCCCCTCTCCTGTACATGCATGCTCTTGCTCGCTCTCTCTGTCTCAAAAATAAATTAAAAAAATTAAAAAATAATAAACTGTTACCTGGATCTAGCATAATTTAATTATTCACACATTAAAGAACACTGGGATGGTTTCTACTTGGTCATCATTTCCAAGACTTTCATACGTAAACATCCTTGTACATGCCTCTATGTGCAAGTATTTCCCCTGGCTAGATATTTAGAAATAGAATTATTGTTAGAACCTACTCACTTCCTGACATTGTGAATGAGTCTCTTTCCCTCACTAACTTACCAGCTTTCTGAAGTAGTTGACAATCTAGAAAACACAGCAAAGCGAGTAAGGCCATGATGGGGCTGGGCGGATGGCTGTTGAATGATGCAGCCTCCATCACATTGTGAATGTGCTGGCGAAAGATAAACCTGTTAGAATTTAAAGCCTGTCCCTGGAGCTGTCATTTGGGAGTTAGTGAGGAAGGCAAGTTAGACCTTGACTGGGTCCCATTTGCAGACTGAAGCAGGCTCCAGGCTCTGAGCTGTCAGCACAGAGCCCGACGTGGAGCTGGAACCCACAAACCGAGAAATCATGACCTAAGCTAGAGTCAGACGCTTAACTGACTGAGCCACCCAGGCGGCCCATGTTTATTTATTTTTGAGAGAGAGAGAGAGAGAGAGAGAGAGAGAGCGTGTGCACAAGCTGGGGAGGGACAGAGAGAGGGGGACAGAGGATCTGAAGTGAGCTCTGCACTGACAACAGAGAGCCCAAAGCGGGGCTTGAACTCATGAACCGTGAGATCATGACCTGAGCCAAAGTTGGATACTTAACCAACTGAGCCACCCAGGTGCCCCTAATTAGAAAAAATTTTAAATGGCCCCTGCTGGGTTTTTGGGGTTTTTTTTTTCCTCTCCCATAAGGTAAAAGGATTCATCCATGGATGAATGCATAGATAAAATATGGTATATGTATACAATGGAATATTAAAACATGGATAAATCTTGGGGGCATTATGCTAAGTAAAAGCCATGTCACTAAAAGATAAATACTGTATAGTTTCACTTAAGGTGTGAAAGTGGTCAAATTCATAGAAACAAAGTACAATGGTGGTAAGGGGCGGGGAGGGGGCTGGGGAGAGAAGGAAAGCAGGGAGTTGTTTAATGGTTACAGAGTTTCAGTCTTGCAAGATGACACTGTTCTGGAGATCAATGTGAATATACTTATACTGTTGAACCTAAAATGTAAAATGAACTTTAAAATGGTTAACATGGTAAATTTTATGCTATGTGGGGTTTTTTTTAAAGCCATCATTTTTTTAAGGGTAAAAAGAAAAAATAATCACCACATTCTTGCCACCCAAGCATGATTATAGGTTTGAGATAATAGTTCTGTGCATTTTTTTTCTATAACAAACTAATATTGGGGCACCTAAGTGGCTCACTTGGTTAAGTGCCCAACTCTTGATCTCAGCTCAGGGTTGTGAGTTGGAGCCCCACGTTGGGCTCCATGGTGGGCATGGAACCTACTTAAGAAAAAAAAAAAAAAAAACCCACACTAATATTGATGATGCTTGAGTATCTACTCTTTCTACCATTTTATGCTAGATGCTAGCATAAAATGGTAGAATACGTATGTCAGAATGTAAAAGAAATGCACACAGAAGTGTCCAAGTCTTTTTTTCCCCAAGTCTACTTTGAAAATCAACTTGCAACTTGTAGCCATTTCAAAAGCTCAACCCTTTGATAATGACCTTAAAGCCAGAGAAGTTCGGAAAGGGAGAACTGGTAGGGGGGCAAAGAGGAATTCTTGGAGTGGTTCAAGTTTAATGGATGCATAAAGGTACGTGCAAAAGAGTAGGGAGCCTTGTCCTTGGTGTGAGGAATAACTTGAGTAATTGTTGTTAAAGTGGGGAATAGCGTGTTGGAGAGCTGCCTGACCAGAAGTGAAGATGCCCTGAGATGGGGAGGGTGGGGCCTGGTGATGAATCTCTGAAGAGCCAAGCCAGGATTGGCGTTTGGTCTGATTCGAGGCTGTAGAGCTTCATGAATGTTCCTGAGCTGTGGTATTTCCTACATATTTTCTCTTAGGTTCTCCACTTGCTACTGGAACGGGAACCCTTCTCCTGATCCTCTCTGATGTGAATGACAATGGCCCCGTACCAGAACCTCGAAGTATGGATTTCTGCCAGAAAAATCCACAGCCTCATATCATCAACATCTTTGATCCAGATCTTCCCCCCAACACATCTCCCTTCACGGCAGAACTAACACACGGGGCAAGTGTCAACTGGACCATTGACTACAGTGACCAAGGTGGGAACTGGAGTCTTACTCTGACCCCATGCTTTTCCCTGCTCCTGCCCCCCACCCACTTCTGAAAGTCCCTTCTCAGCTTCTCAGATGTCACCTCTTTTGTCTGACGCTTGTTTATTTGCCCCATCTGCATTTGAGGCATTCCCCCAAAGGTCCCTTTCCTTTCCTGGTATCTGACTCTGTAACATACTGCACAGTGATCTTCCACCCAAGCAGCTCCATTTTCTTTACCCTAATAATTCTAGAATGAGGTTGTTTTGTTTGTTTGTTCTTTTTCTCCTCGTCCCATCATTTATTTTTGTTGCTTCCTCCAGCCCGTGAATCTCTAATTTTGAAGCCAAAGAAAACCTTAGAGTTGGGCGACTACAAGATAAATCTCAAACTCGTGGATAACCAGAACAAGGACCAGGTGACCACCCTAGATGTGTACGTTTGTGACTGCGAAGGGGTCGTCAACAACTGCAAGAGGACCATGCCTTACGCTGAAGCGGGGTTGCAAGTTCCTGTCATTCTGGGCATTCTCGGAGGAATCCTCGCCTTACTAAGTAAGTATGCCTGGCAAGCATTTCAGTCTTTGGCTTCTAAACTGGGGGAGGTTTATCTGTTACTGAGCATTTTAAAGTTGAGTTCGCCAGGACTGGAAGGGAGCACTGTTCCATTAAATCAACAGGAGCCCAGTCCGTCTATTTTGTTGTTCTTTGAATCCTTCAGGGCAGTGCATACAAATCGCCTGCATGAGAATTCTGATCTGGGGTGGGACCTCACATTCCACCTTTGTCACCAGCTCCCAGGGGGTGCAAATGTTGGAGGTTCTTAGAGCAACCTGGAGCAGCAAGTCTTTAGGGTGCTATTCTCATCAGCATGGTCGGAGCTACCAGCTCACCACCCCCACCTTCCGTCTTGGAGAAGAGATGAGAGAGGAAGTGGAAGGCACATATCTGGAAAGTGCACCTTCACTCCCATTCCAATGGCTCAAACACAACCACACCTAGAATGTCCCACCCTAACTGAGTGGCCATGTGCCCATTTAACACTTGGCAGAGAGTGGGGGTGGAGTATAGGGTGAATAGTGAGTATCAATGACTATCAGGACAGAGTGGGGGAAAGACCGTGTATAATTAGGGGCTGAAAAGGGCGGTCCAGGTCATGAATGCCTTTGCATTCAGAAGAGGGGGCCTCTTGAGGGAGCCTCAAGGAAGGTTTGGTGGAAGATGTAGGATTGTTGGGACGGGGACTGGTGGCATCCAGATGGACAGAGGGGCATTCGTGACGGTTCCCACACTACCACACTAGTGAAGGCACAGAGAGGAAGGGGAGGCAGGGAGGAGACCAACGTGGCTGGAGTAGAAGAAAGTTCTTGGAGGGAGCAGTGGGGCCACCTCTGGGGTTTCAAGTCGACTCAGCACAGGTGTTCTTTCCCCTGCCACTTGCTGCTTCACCAGATTCATTTGCTCCTGCCCTTTGCTGCTTGTGTCATCTCCAAACTCAGAAGGAAGGAGAGTGTTGTTTAGAATTCAGTGAGCTTTCTGGACTTGTGTTCCTCAGAATTCACATGGCTTTATTGCCACCATGGGATGAGGTTAATTCACCTTCCTGTGTCATCAGCACAGGCGTGACGGCACAAGCCCTGCCTGCCCACTTACTTCCCACTCCAATTACATTTGAACGGGCCAGTCTGCTCTGGGGACAGCAGTTACAAACTAGTACTTTCATTCTGAGGAAAATGTTCAAGACTGCAGTTTACCCTTAAAATACCAATTTTTTAGTAATAGCCTTACCTCAATTTGTTTGGGGTATATTTTATTAGACACAGAGGCCAAGGACAACATGGCAGAAAGCTTAAATGTGGAACAACATTGAAAGCAGAAGCAATGCCAGGATCCACACTTCTAGCTTCTTGTTCCTTGTGGGCAGACTTAGAACTTAGCCTTCTAAAGGTGATTCTACAAAGATGCCGGGACATGTGGATGTTCATGTAATCCCTCAATATTTGATTGCTTGCTTTGTGCCAGGCTTTTTGAGGATCCCACTGGGGTTGCTGAGGTTTTGGTACAGTGTATGGGGTGGTACTTCCTGAAGCAGTGAAAATATGTAGTTACTTTTCTAAAGGTATAACATGTGAGTAACGTTTGATCGGTAACATCTTCTTGGAGATGAGAACCTGCTCCTTGCTCTTACTTGCTCTACGCTCCACGTGGATGGTGACTGTTGGCATCTTATGTGGTCTTCAGGGCCGTGTCCTCGGTGCCAAGGCAGGTCTAGGCCGACCCAGCAAGTGCTCACTGTTCCTGTTTATGGATTGTGATCAAGGAAGTTTGCTTATCTGAATAAAGTCTTGGAAACTTGCTGATTTCAGAAACAATAGGGAGTTTGGGTACTTCTGAGAAATCTTTTCCCCAAGTCTACGCAACCTCCTGTTTCAGTCCAGTAATACTGTTTCAGTAGGATGTCCTTTCCCTCCTCCCTCCCCCTGTAGGGTGTCCTTTAGAGGTACTTGGGCACAAGCATCTATGAAGAAAACACATTGAATCGTAATTTCTTCATTCACAATAAGTAGTTTAAAAGTTTTTAACAGCTGTTAATCATATATACCCTAGAAACATCCCATGATCAGATGAAAACTTTGGAAATTAAACAGATCGTAGAGCTTGCCCACATGATTTTTATCTTAAGGGAATATACCAGGTGATTATATGGTCTGTGTCCCATTCCTCTGAACTGATTAAAAATAATGTGCACCTGTCAATCACATTTAGGGTGACTCATCCCTGTTCACAAACCTCTAATGGTTCCAACTCAGAATCAAAGCCAAAGTCCTTCTAGTAGTTGACATATCCCTGCCACCCCTCTGTTTGCTTCTTTCCCCCTCACTCACCCTGCTGTGGCCATGCTGACTTCACTTTTCTTAATCATGCCAATCATGCTTCTGCCTCAGGTCCTTTGTCCTTACCACCATTTCCTCTGCCTGGAGCATTTTAACTCAGATTCTGAGAAACGACTGACTGGTTTAATAAGTCCAGTTAGGGGCGCCTGGGTGGCTCAGTCAGTTAAGCATCCTATTTCGTCTCGGGTCATGATCTCCCAGTTTGTGAGTTTGAGCCCTGAGTCTAGCTCTGTGCTGACAACTCAGAGCCTGGGGCCTGCTTCGGATTCTGTGTCTCCTTCTCTTTCTGCCCCTCCCCCACTCATGCTCTGTCTCTCCCAAAATTAAATAAACATTAAAAAAGATAAACAGTCCAGTTGAAGACACGCTTGAATTCCCATGTAATTGTCCACTATGTTATACTGTATACGTTAACTTCAGGTATGTGAGCATCGCCATGTGGGTTGTCTGACAGCCATCTGTCTGGTAGGCGAGGCACTGGTGCTGTGTGATAGCTGCTTTTTATGGCCTTCCTGACCTGTGGCTCTCCTTGTTCTCTCTTCCCCACACCAGTCCTGATTCTGCTGCTTTTGCTGTTTGTTCGGAGGAGAGGGGTGGTCAAAGAGCCCTTACTACCCCCAGAAGATGACACCAGGGACAATGTTTATTACTATGATGAAGAAGGAGGTGGAGAAGAGGATCAGGTACCTTTTTAAAACTGTGGCAAAAAGCTATGTGGTGATCTCTGTTTGGAAGAAGCAATGTTTAGGAAAAGGTAGGCATTTAAAATACCGTTGTTCTGTTCAGCACCCAGATGAATGGACAGATGCAAAGGGCAGTTAAATAACTTGCCCAAAGTCACACAGGTAGGAAGCAGTCAAACCAAGTAGTCTGACTCAAGCCTGTTCTCCTCATGGCTGTTCTCAGGACATGAACTTCAAATTATTTAGACATAAAGCACTTAATCTGTTGTGATATTTTGTCCCTTGAGTTTATAGGTATGCTAAACTTTTGCCTTTCTTTTTGTAGATGTTAAATCTTCAGGCCTTCTTTATTTTCCCTGATTTTGGAGATGATCTTACCTTGCCCCGGAGTTTTTTTGTTTTGTTTTGTTTTTGTTTTTTAAAGTAACCTTAATGCCCAACGTGAAGCTCAAACTCAGGGACCCGAGATCAAGAGTCGCATGCTCTACTGACTGAGCCAGCTGGGCACCTTTCTGGAGAGTTTTTGAAAGTGTATTCTATCTAGAAAGGGAACCTTGGGCCCCATCTCGGAGTTCTGCTTTTGACTCCCGCCATGCATGAGCACATTTGCTGAGCGATGTGGTCTGGAAGAATAGCCTGTTTTGCATAACATATTAAGGGGTGCAGAGAAATGTCCTTCAGGCATTTGTGGGACAACTGCTGGTCTCAGCTACTGTCTTAGTCTGTGTGGACTGCTATAACAATATACCACAGACATTGCTTAAAAACCACAGAAATTCATCTCTCACAGTTCTGGAGGCTGGGTTGTTTAAAATCAAGGCACCAGCAGATGTGGTGTTTGGTGGTGGCTTGCTTCCTCCTTCATAATCAGCCATAATGTACTCGCACGGCAGAAAGGAATCTCCAGGGTGTCTTTTATTAGGGCCCCAGTCCTCTTCGCGACGGCTCCATCTACCCTCCTGACGTAATCACTTCCCAAAAGTCCCACCTTCAAATACCACCACCTTGAGCATTAGGTTTCAATGTATGAATTTTGTGAAGGACACAGGTATTGAGTATATATGGCAGCTAGGCTCACAAGAATCTGTGGATCGGCTGGGACTTAGTTAATAAGGTATAACAGCCTACATCCTTACCACAGGTGCTCCTCATGATCATTTGATGTCTTTCCTTTTTTTTTTTTAATGTTTATTTTTGAGAAAGAGACAGAGTGTGAGTGGGGTAGGAGCAGAGAGAGAGGGAGGCACAGAATTCGAAGCAGGCTCCAGGCTCTGAGCTGTCAGCACAGAGCCTGATGTGAGACTTGAACTCACAAACCATTGAGATCATGACCTGAGCTGAAGTCGGATGCTCAACCGACTGAGCCACCCAGGCACCCCTGATGTCTTTCCTTCTGGGGCTATTGTGAAAACTCTTAGGTTGAAAATTGTCATTTTAGTTTACACTGGCAAATGCTTGCAACTATTGACAGGGTATTTTCTGATACCAGAATCTATAATCCAAATATATCCCCTTATTTGTGACTGTTTCTTTTTACTCTGGGGTCTATTTTTACCTTTTTCTCCAAAGGACTTTGACTTGAGCCAGTTGCACAGGGGCCTGGATGCTCGGCCTGAAGTGACTCGCAATGATGTGGCACCAACCCTCCTGAGCATGCCCCAGTACCGACCCCGCCCTGCCAATCCTGATGAAATTGGAAACTTTATTGATGAAGTAAGTTAGCAAAATCAAAAGCAATAGTGCCATTCATCTCTAAACTCAGGAACAGTTGTGTTGAAAGTCAGGAAAAAGTCTTTAGATTCTTTGCTTTATGTTTTCTCCTTGTCTGATCCCTGACTGCTATTTTTTATTTGTGTCTCATCTGAATTTCAGAACTCAGAGCACTTCAAATCGTTCCTAGCGAATTTGCAAAGTCCATATGGCAAAACCAAGAATGACTTGAAAGGATTTAGTAAAAGTAGACATGAAGCTAAAGGAATTCAAAGTAGATCCAGTTTGGTTTCACTAATGAGTCTTTTTGCCCCTGCATCCCATTCCTGGTTGGGATGTGATATTAAAAGTGTATCATAAGTCTACCTAAGGGCCAGAAAAATAGCATCCCTTTGTATATGTCAGAAATGCATTCAGCTTTAAATTCCAGGAGCTTAAACACATGTAACAGAGGGTACCTTGTTTTTGTGCTTGTTACCTCATGAGCACAAGATGGCTGCCACACTTCCAGGCCTTGGGTCTGTGTGTTCCAGTCAAGAAGAAGTAGGAAGGGTAGGGTAGAAGCCAAAAATTTTCATTCAGGCAAACTGTTACTGCCAAGTAGGGAGTTTATTCTATATGTTACAATATGACTGTTTTCAGCCTCTGTCCATCCTGACGGGCTTGTTTGTCTCCTGCCTACACATAACTTATCATTAGTATAGAGGAAAAGATTCTGCAATTTACCTGTAATGTTCTCTTTTCATGAAATATATATTAGATTTGTCTTCCTTGACTGTTTGTATAAATTTACCTTATTGGTGTCACCGGATGGTTGCATGGTCATGTGTGACTTGTTGCTCGAGGCACCTGGAGGAGGCATCTTGCCTCAGATGACCGGTGTGCGATTCCTTGCATTGAAAGATCCTTTCGTCTTCCTTCTTCTTTAGAACCTGAAGGCAGCAGACAGTGACCCCACTGCTCCTCCTTACGACTCTCTGCTTGTGTTTGACTATGAAGGAAGCGGTTCTGAAGCTGCTAGTCTGAGCTCCTTAAACTCCTCGGAATCAGACCGAGATCAGGACTATGACTACCTGAATGAATGGGGCAATCGCTTCAAGAAGCTGGCAGACATGTACGGAGGTGGTGAGGATGACTAGGGGACTCGAGACAAATGGGGAAGGAGATGGGCCCCTACATCGTGTGATAGAAAATGCAGGGCTCATGGTTTCTCAGCTCCCTTCACTTGAGATGACTTTCTGGGGAAGAGAGTCTGCTCGGTGATGCAGTTAGAATAGTTGGGATTTCCACTTTATAGATCTAATCTGTGTGTGTTCGAATGATTTCGCCCTAATTTTTGAATCTTTTTTTCTTTCCTCACTCTTTAAGTGGTGATGCTGTCCCAAAGACCCCCATATGTTAATACTTCAGAACAATAGCTTCAGCCTCAAAAGGTTCTGCTAGCAACTTGCAGATTTCCTTAAGGGTTTTCGTCTCATTTTTTAAGGGAAGGGAGGGGTCAACTGCCCTATTATTTTGTGCGTGTGTGTGTGTGTGTGTGTGTGTGTGTGTGTGTGTGTAATTGTTTTTAATTTGTGTACTTTTTTCCTCCTATCACTGCACAGTGCCCCTTGTTCTACTATCCACTCTTACTCCTTCTGAACCTACATTGCTCCAGGCAGGGGTTCTCTGATGCAGAAATTTGGGGGCCCTTTCAGGATAAGTGTGGTCTTAGTCTGGCCATAGTGTGAATGGGTATTATTTACTCTTAAGACCTTTAATCTTCTGAGTATATAACTTGAAATAGGTATCCATCCACTTACTTGTTGTGCATAAGAATGTTTGTTATGTGTATGTCATTACTGGGGTGATCTGGTTCTAAACAGGAAGCCTTGACCAGAAAGGGTGGTGAGTTTTCAGGTGCCACTCCACATCTAATGTTCATCTAACACTCAAACAAGAGAGTGATCTATTCCAACACTTACGGTAGTGCCTCGAGTGCTGCAGCCAAAGACAGAAGGTGTTTGTCCCAGCGGAGAGCAACGTGAAAAATGGGTTTGAAGGTGGCAGGAGACAAGTTGTTGAGCCTGGCAATTTAGGAAACTGAGGCTGAGGATGGTTGAGGTGGCTCTGCCTCTAGTCCTGAAAAAGAATGGAAGAATCTTAACATGTGACTCCAATCAGGATCCTGCTACCAGAGTTTCTTCCTAACAGCCCAGAACCCCCCAAGTGCCTGCTGTTGTTGATGTCCACAGGATATGCTGGCTGATCTGGAAACATCTGCCCCAAATTCCAAGCATGCATAGAAAACAATATCAGGAAATCCAATTTATTTTCCTTAGGAGCAGGAAGAAAATACGGCCCTAAAATGTGTCAGTAAGGGGAGTGTGGGGAGAACTCTGATTTGGATCTTCTTTTAGTTGAAATGTGAATTTCAAGAACCTTTTGACAACCATGGAAAATAATCTTATCTAAATTGCTTTACTGTCTGTCAGGTGTTTTTTGAAGAAAAAGAAAATCATCCCTGCAATCACATCTTGGAATTGTCTTGATTTTTCAACAATTTAAACTCGAATGTAGTCCTGTATAGAGAATGTCACTATAGTTTTGAGTATATATGTGTGTGGGTGTTGATAATTTTGTATTTTCTTTGGGAGTGGAAAAGGAAAACAATTCAAGCTGAGAGAATTCTTAAATATTCATTTTTATAAATTTTATTAAAGAATTTTGTTAAACATTGTCAGACATATGTTTTATTTGGTTAGCCACAATTCCATGCAAGACCAGTGGTACTTGGGCTTATTCAAAACATGGAGAAGGAAGCTTCATGTTGAAATGACTCCTCCAGAACTTTGTGTCCTTCTATTGCGGGCAGAGTGTGGGAAACTGCATTTACAAATTCACTTTACTTGAAAACTATCCATATGGTATGTGGAGAAGCCATTAACATTCTCTTCTTAATGGAAAAACTACTGTGGGCATTGCTGAGGGACCTAGTAGAGCTTCAGACAAATTCAGTCAGTCAGCAAAAGGTTTGTGTAGTCCAGTGGTTCACCCCTGGGGGAGAATATGGCTCCCTCTCCCGGAGGACTTTGTGCAATTTCTGGAGATACTTTGATTGTGATGACATCAAGTCAAGGCCAAGGATGCTGCTGACCATCCGGCAATGCACAGGACAGCCATGTGCAACAAAGAATCATCAGGTTCAAAATGTCAGTAGTGCTGCTGTTGAGAAACCCTCTTACAGTTCTGTCACTTTCCTCTGCTGGAGTCTAGGACTTGAGATAGATATATAAATTTTTTTAAGTGGTGGTCAAATATATATACAGATCTTGACTTATGTGGTTATATCCCAAAAAACCATCATAAGTTGAGAATATGTCAAAGTGCATTTAATTTGCCTAAGGCACCAGACATGAGATCGTAACCCACTTTAAATGTGCTCAGAATACTTAACATTAGCCTATAGTTTAGTAAAATCATCTCACACAAAACCTGTTTTCTTTATTTTTTTAATATTTATTTTGAGAGAGGGGCGCCTGGGTGACTCCGTGGGTTAAGCATCTGACTTCGGCTCAAGTCATGATCTCATGGTTTGTGACTTCGAGCCCCACGTCAGGCTCTGTGCTCAGAGCCTGGAGCCTGCTTTGGATTCTGTGTCTCCTCTCTCTGCCCCTCCCCAACTTGTGTTCTGTCTCTCTATGTCTCTCAAAAAATAAATAAACGTAAAAAAAAATTAATATTTATTTTGAAAGTACATCATGAATGAGGGAGGGGCAGAGAGAGAGAGAGAGAGAGAGAGAGAGAGAGAGAGAGAGAGAATCCCAAGCAGGCTCCACATTGTCAGCACAGAGCCCTATAAGGGGCTCGATCCCATGAACCATGAGACCATGACCTAAGCTGAAATCAATCAAGAGTGTGTATGCTTAACCAACTGAGCCACGCAAGTGTCCCTCACATTAACCTTTTTTATTTATTTTTTTAATGTTTGTTTATTTTTGAGAGAGAGAGAGCGTGAGCAGGGAAGGGCAGGGAGAGAGGGAGACAAAGAATCCGAAGCAGGTTCCAGGCTCTGAGCTGTCAGCACAGAGCCTGATGTGGGGCCCGAACTCATGAACTGTGAGACCATGACCTGAGCTGAAGTCAGATGCTTAACTGACTGAGCCACACAGGTGCCCCCACAAAACCTATTTTATAATAATAAAGTGCTGAAGAGCTCGTGTCATTTATTGAATATGGACAGCGAGAAATGGAATGGTTAAGTGTGTCTGTTGCTTACCTTCCTGATCACAGAACTGACAAGCCGTGGCTGCCACTCACTGCCCAGCATCACGAGAAAGTCCGACCACGTATCACTAGCCCAGGAAAAGATCAAAATTGGAAGTATGGTTTCTACTGAATGTGTGTGGATTTTGAGCGTGCAATTCAGTGATGCTAAGTGCATGTATAACCCTCATCTCTATTTCCAGAACCTCGTCATCATCCCAAACAAGTTCTATAACCATAGGCAATAAGTAACTCCCCGTTCTCCCCTTTCTCAGCCCCAGTTACCTCCATTCTACCTTGTTTTATGAATTTATTCTAGGTATTTCATGTAAGTGGTGTCATGTAATTTATGTCCCTTTAAACTTGGTGATGTCATGTAGCCTAATGTGTTCAGGGGTTGTCCGCACTGCAGCTTGTATCAGCCCTTCATTCCTTCTACGGCTGAGCAATATTCCATCATGCGCATATATACCACATGTTGTTATATATCCATTTATCTTGGGTTGTTTCCACCTTGTGGCTATTGTGAATGATGCTGCAGTGAACGCTTGCTTACAAAAACTGTTTTCAATTCTGGTTATTAACCTGAGAGGAGCATTGCTGGGTCATACGGTAATTCTGTGTGTGGTTTGAGAGACTCCAATATTGAAACCTTGGTTGGTTGGGTCCTGGAGTGAAAATTTAAGATCCATAAAAGACTTTTTTTTTTTTTTTTTTTGAAATTGGGCAAATTGTAATAAGTAGAGTAGATTATATTCCTGAATAAACTTTTATTTTAATGTTTGTTTATGACAGAGTGAGAGTGTAAGTGGGGGAAGGAGCAGAGAGAGAGGGAGACACAGAATCTGAAGCAGGATCCAGGCTCTGAGCTGTCAGCACAGAACCTGACGGGGGGCTCGAACTCACAGATTGTGAGATCATGACCGGAGTTGAAGTCAGACGCTTAACCCACCAAGCCAACCAGGCACCCCATAAACTTTTTTTTTTTAATTTTAAGTTTATTTTGAGAGAGAAAGCATGAGTGGGGGAGGGGCAGAGAGAGAGACTCCTAAGCAGGTTCTGCATTGTCAGCCCGGAGCATAAGGAGGGGCTTGAACTCATGAACCATAAGATCGTGATCTGAGCCAAAAATCAAGATTCAGATACTTAACCGACTGAGCCACACATATGCCCCTAAACATTAGTTTTCTTGGGGGCATAGTTCACTAAGAGAACCTTATTAGGAGATAAATGATGATGAATTTAGGGATGAAGTGTTAGTTGCATCTGGAAGTTAAGAATGATTCAACAAAAAAGTGTGAAGAGTGGTAGCACGAAGGCAAATGTGACAAAATGTTCATAATGACTAAATCTAGGTGAAGGGCATGTAAGTATTGACGTACTATTTTGGTTTTTCTTCGAGTTTGAAGTATTTCACAATTAAAAGTTGGAGAGAAATTAGGAAGCTGGAAATAAACCCTCATATATATGGTCAACTGATACTCTACAGGAGTGCTAAGACCATTGGGAAAAGGACAGTTTTTTTGGGGGGGGCAGATAACACAAAAATTACGTGTGTGTGCGCGCACAGTATTGAGGAACTTGGGTGGCTCATTTGTTTATCAGACTCTTGGTTTCAGCTTGTGTTATGATCCTCCGATTTGTGGGTTTGAGCCCCACTTAGGGCTCTGTGCTGACAGCTCAGAGCCTGGAGCCTGTTTCGGACTCTGTGTCTCCCTCTCACTGGGGGGTGGGGGGGGGGTTGCTTGGGATTCTCTCTCCCTGTCTCTCTGCTCCTCCCCCACTCGCCTGTGTTCACGCTCTCTCAAAAATAAACTTTATATGTTTTTATTATAGTTGACACAGTGTTACATTCGTTTTAGGTGTTACAACTTAGTGATTTGACAAGTTTATG